GAAATAGCAATTAATATTAGTTCTTTTACCTGTTATACCTTCCATATCCGGATAAATCGGTATAAAATCATCACCGGCACCTCTAGGTGTGGTATGCGTCTACGGCTGCATGTATCGCGTGAGCGGTTAGTGAATTAATGAAAAATATGTTATTATGTCGATTTAAGTACATAATAGACATGTGTAATTATTAGGAGTCTGGATTCTATTAATAGAATCATAGATAATAGATTCGCGTTAGCATTTTCGCTGTGTTGCTGATCACATAACGTAATAGTGCAAGAAAGTGATGGGTAACCCTGCCACTCCACGCACTCATTTGCGCGTGTGCAGATAGCGCTTTGCTATATGTAGTAGTAGTAGGTAAATAATTTTCGACCGTTGTATTGAGTGTCCGGGGCGTGCTATTGTGACAAAAGTTATGAATTTAAATATCTTATTTTTAATTTAACAAAGAAAATCACTTTTTTTGTTAAATAAAAGAAAATTAAACAAAAAAAAACAAACTTAAAGACATTATCGAATAGTGCTGTAGTGTTGTCCGTTTTTTCGTCTGAAGAAAACACTGAAACCAAGGCTGGTGGTAAGGAGAAATCATTTTCCTAGTTCAAATTAGTAGTAGTTTTCTTTAATTTCAATGGCCTTTAGCAGCATCCTAGGTAGAAAAGTCTGGTGTCAAACCAAGGCATTCCCTGTACTATGAGTAAGAATTCATGTAACTGTAAATTAATGACGAAAACTTTGTGGGGGATACGTACGGTGTGTTTATTTTATAGTCTCTTAAAATGACCACGCAGCTCCTCTGAGCCGTCGCAGACACCCAATACCCCGACATTTTCAATGTCGTTGTTTCATTATGATTTGAAACCTACAATGACAAGCATCAGATTTCCTAGCGCAACATTTTTGGAGGTTGAAAGATTACCCGCTGATCCGGGAATTGTTACTTCGTAGTATGAAAATAAATTTACGTTTGTTTTAATTATGTAAAGAAGGAAACGAGCAGACTAGCCAGTTGATGAGAGGTGGTCATCGTCGCCCATGGACATTTGCAACATCAGATGAGCTGCCTATGCGTTGCCAGCCTTTGAGAGCCCTGTAAACACGCTTTTTGAAGAACCCCATGTCATAGCGCAAAGGAAATACTTAGGAGGAAAATCGTTCCGCATTTTGCAGGTTCGAGGAAGGAACGAACGAGGTGCACGCATGTAATACAGGTAAACTTTCATTTCGTCGATGTTGATGTATGATTGTTATTTTCTTTAAATTCACCATTGGACAAAACGTCGTGGTAGCCCATTGGTAGCCTAAGACTCAACTCATACTGGCGCAGAGTCGAAGCGTCGCGTCGCGTCCGGTTTTTCAACTGCACCGTCTGGCGACGCGCGTCGACGCGCGACGACGCTCGCATTAGTACGTCGGGATCACAGTATGGTCGGCGTCTGACGCCTGAGTGTCCAAGTAACGCGCGGCGACGCGCGTCGTTGGTCGATTCTATATTTGCATAACAAATTTGTACCTTAATAATGGGAAAATAGAGATGAATATGCTATAGGCGAAAAACATGACGCATCGCGACGCTTCGCTCTGCGCCAGTGTGAGTTGAGCCTTATGGTTTGATATACCACCTCTCAAGCAAAGGGCGTGAAATCGAACCCGGGCTTGCACCTCGGAGTTTTCGCAATTTATGTGCGTTGAAATTTTAATTGAATTGATATTCAATTCAATTTTAAAATTTTATGTGAAATTATTCCACTAGTTTGTTATAATAATTAATACAAAGATCGAACACTCAGAAAAAATTCCTTCGATCCGGCCGGATTCGAACCGACGTCTTCTAGCATACCGTGATAGACGCTATACCAACTAAGCCACCGAACGAACCAGCGGACCTCACGAATTTTTCTATGTGTTTGTTGTCGTGTCTTTGTATTTGGTTTTTCAACGACTTTTTAGCCGTAGCGCCATCCATAAGAAATCTATGAAAGTATTTCGTCACCCAGTTAGATACCTTTACAGCTACCAGCCCCGGCTAGAGATGTCGCTATTCACTGTATTTAAATTTTTATTGAATTGATATTCCATTATTTTTTATGTGAAATTACTCCACTAGTTTGTTATAATTATTAATACAAAGATCGAACACTCAGAAAAAATTCCTTCGATCCGGCCGGATTTGAATTGTTTTTATTATGTGCGTTTAATTTGAAATTTACCGTGAGCTTTTCGGTGATGCAACAATAATATTTCTTACGCTATGACCGGCACGGAGAGGAAGTGCACGGTTTTATCGTTATCATGACGCAATATTTACATTATACATGCGCTGAGGCCGCCGAAGTGTGTTTGACATAAAGGTTACCATGCTTCACTGTTACCTCTCTTAGCTATTATTTAATTTCAAACTTAAACTCACAGTTGAAATCGTAACATTGATTCAACTCTACTGCTCATTCGTAAGGCAGATTAACATGAGAAGAATGTGTAAGTAGCTCGAGGGGTTGCTCTTTGTAAATATATATTTGTACACATTTTTCATTTATAATATTTATCAAAAAAATCGAGACAACTTTATATAGGAGGATACCCTTCCTCGGGAAGGCGAGGATTATGTCGGACAACCTGCAAGAGCTGAACGTGTCCTTACCATGGATTTTTGTTAACCAAGTACGCAGAAGCTGTATAATGCAACCTTCAATTTCGTTAATTTGAGTTTAGTTAACACAATATTTTTTTGTAAAAAAGTCGTTAAAACCAAAAACAAAGGCCTGTTGACTCGATCTAGCTAGTAGCTCAGTTGCAGTAGAGCTCCTTGTGAAAGAGTTCGTCCAGGGAAGTACTGCCACCATACCCATTTTTGCCGCCAAGCAGTAATCTGAGCATTACTGTGTTTCGGTTTTGAATGGTAACGGTGCTGGTGAAATTACAAGCACATGGGACTTGTCAACTTATGTCTCAGGGTGACAGTGGCAGTGCCCTTCAGATTTTGCGATTTGAAGCTCTGAGTGACACTGGAACTGTTATGGACAGGCATGAACCATCAGGCGCACGACTTGTTCGTTCCGTCACAGGATATTATAAAAAAAAATTGGTAGAGCGGTCGCCCTGGGATGGCACAGACGCAGGTTAGAGTCTTGTTAGATCGAAGGAATTTTTGTGTGTTCGACCTTGTATTAGTAATTATATCCATAGCCTAATAGAAATGCTCATCGAATAATGTATCAAGGGATAATGCCCTATTATGATTATACGCCCCTTACGTGTACGTCGTTTCGGATTATTATTAACAAAAGCAAAATCTACATGACGTAGAATTTCTAATCGTTTTCCTTTTCTAAAAATTTTATCATCACAGCAGCGGCAGTACAACCGGAGAATTAAATCTTGCTTTATGTTATGCCTATTTGATCATTATTATCACCAAAAACAAAATCTACATTCGCCAAAAGTAATTGCTTAAGGCTTTCACTTCTCTTATCGACCTGTATGATGGTCACCATACATGTAGTAATGTAATGTGCAGCGTCAGCACAATCCAAGGTCCATGTCTTCATGACTTTTATGCTCATTCATATAATTGGCATCTAAACGCACCAAAATATAGACGGAGTTCATAAATTTTCATTTTAATCGTGTTAGCCGAGGAGGCTATGGCTAAAAGGAGGTTCGCGGTTTTTCCCGTACAAAAACCTTATTATGGTCACCGCACATGTACCGATGTGCCGCGTCAGCATAACTAAGGGACTAATGCTCGCTTTTTGACTGCGCCCTTTTGCGCCCATTCGGATATGATTGTCGACAGTCGTAAAAGAACTTGCCTCGTGAGCGCTCAGCAATTTCGCTGAATTATTCGTTGAATATCTTTTTCAGGTGTTACAATTTCACGAGGGCGTAAAAGACCTTATAATAATGCTTACGACATTTTAAAGCTAACGCAATGTATGTTTTATGTAGATAACTGCATGAAGCTCGTAGCATGCTGGTCCGTTATTTACGAAAACATACAAAAAATACATTAAATTACTAACATACCAGATTGTTCTATTAATAACTACAAATATGAATTGAAAGAAAATCTGAATTTGCACAATAGATACCTATCCAAATCCAATCCAAATGTAAAGATGTGTAGACAGTTAAACTAGCTGTCACAGTAGTTTTAGTTTATGAGGTTTCTGTAAAATATAATATCTATAACATAAAACATTGTGATTGTAGACATTTTAACTTCTTTTCCTATAACAAAAAGGGTCAAAGAAATTGGAAATATATACGAAACAACAACATTTTAAAACATTTGTCTTATTCAAACTAAGATTAGTGATTAGTCCATCAAAACAAACTCAAACAAACCAAAACTTCGGAAAAGTTGTTTACGGTTATTGGTTACAGTAATTAGGAGCCACCGAATTTTATTAAGAATGTTTAAATATCAATTAAATTTCAAAACAAATCTTGTACTTCACATCCGTATGATGTATATAAAGTACCACGTTTGCTAGAAATTTAGTAGCCAAGAAATACAGAACATCGTTGTATTTAGTAAAGTAAATAGCGAAACTTCTAAATATATATTTAGTCGGTGGTACCTACATATGTATATCATCAAAATTACGTAGGATGGTTATCAAACAGAAAGTATTTCAAACATTTACCATAATCGTAGCGCGAACGGACCAAGGTCAATTCAAGCCATTCTTATGTTAATGCACATATTTTATTATGCTTTGTCATTTACACTACACGTCATTCTACACGGCATATTCATATCATATGAACATTCATGTGCTCCTACATTATCACATCGACGTAACAAACTACGATAACAATATACCATAACGTAAATATGTAAATAAAACTCAATCTATCAACCGGCATTTGTTTCTTGCCAGACTTGTATTACATGTTGCTGTACAATCACATGAATATTCATTTCAAGTTAAAGTAATAATTACGAAAAATACAACGACAAAAACAATCCACTTTATTCTTACGCTAACCTGGAGAAGTAGAACGCGCCTTGAACGTCGGAGCGATCATGACGGTCTCTGCAAATCAATCAAAGCCATCAAAAACTGATGAACACTGACACCTCACGTCCTTACCATTCACCTTGAATTTTAATCTATGCACCCTTAAGTAACGCTGATGGATCTTAAATAGCAGATTTCGAATGTACACTACTATTACCGCTCTTAATGGCAAGTAATATATTCCTAAATAAACATGAGCCGATATACGTTTGACAGTCCTTACACATACACCAGCGGCAAGATTTATGGTGGCACAGGTACAACATATCGAACATTCCTTATTCAAAGCTTGTACAATATTTGCGATCTACATGTATCCTTTAGAGTGAAATGTCTTTGCACTTTGCACTCATAGAGACAGATAAAACTGGGAGATGTCTCCAAATTAATCTCTGGAGAGAAGCCAAAGCGATTCGTAGTTAACAATTAAGATAACTAGTCTACCAATTGTGTCCCTATACTTAGTAGTAACGTATAAACTCAAATTTATAATATAAAACCTAACTAATTGTACCTTTACAAACACCATTTTGCGATGTAAAAAGAATAAAAAGACATTGTTGGTACGAATTATGACACAATCCTAAAACGACATTATGATTATAATTTTGAAGATAATTTTCAGCTTTTCCTAACATTCATAAATTTTAGATGATAACTGTATAAAATCTTTGTTATAAGCATTCCAAATACTAAAGGCAGAGGGGAGGTACGGAGAAAATGTAACTTTACAAGTACCTATACTTTACAATAGACGGGATATTATACTAAAGCACAGTTTTCCGTACAACCGTAAATATAAAAGGTAACATTTCTGACACTATGATTGAAATAAAAAATATGAAATTAAAAACGCTTATCATAACAATGGAGAAAGGTTAAACTATCACAAAAGGTTCACGATAGGTCTCGGGGGATATGAAATGTTAGTACGATAAAATGAGTGATACAATAATAACAAACGTAGCCAAATTAAGTTTTGTGTTCATACACATGCGGGTCTATTCATGATTTTCTAAACTAGTCAAACTATTCCAGATATATGTCCAAAATATTAACCCTACTATTAGAACAATAGTAAGAAGAATAAATTTTCGTTTAGATTTGATCAATACTTTTATATATATTTTTTTGTTAACCAGACATGTTAAATAAAACAATATGTTTTTCTGTAAATTTCCCGTCTTCACTAGTGTTTTTGTTAAATGTCATTCTCATTTTGATCTTTATTATTGTTCAATTATCTTTTTCAAGGATGTTATCATTTTTGAACCAATCACTATAACCATTGAAATTTCCTTTAAGAGTTCTATTTAAATAAAAATCTTGATGAGTGTTAAAAGGAATGTCTTTTTTCCTGAAAATATTCTTGCTAAATTTGTTTTTGTTGAAATCCGCGATTTGACTAAGAGGATCTGTGCAAGGTTTAAAAACCAGTTCCCAGACATTTTTGTTATCTGTTACTAAATTCTAAATTATATTATACATTATTGTGTATGACAAATACAGCAACATCAATAAATCGTTGTTTTAATAAATCTCCCGACTCATCTTGTATAATATCGCACATGACTACAAAATAATAATAACGCTAGTGAAACATCTGGTTTCCATCACAGTTACAATGCGTCATATAAACAAGTGCCCATCATGAGTTGACATAGATATAACACAAATGCTATAAAGATCCTTTGAAATTGTTATCCAGTTCCTCTATGATCCGACATTAACTGATGTTCCTTGAATAATGTCTTGCTTCGACATTCCCACAGCGACGAATGTAAGTCTTTTTACTGTATTCTAACTATACACCTGGATATTCTAAAGTTAAAATGATACAGATATGTTTACCGACTTTGACCACATCTTTCCGTCAGGTGAGATAATGAATAACGCAATATTTAGTTATATAAAAAAAAACATCGTTAAAAGAAACCACATGTAAGTGGCACCTTTATGATATTGTCGCGGTAATACGAACATAATAGCCATAAAATTTCAAATCGACTTTGTTGTTATCGCTACACACTTTTTCTCGCTATAAAGGTCATCAAATCTAGGTATCCGCTGGTATTGTTAAGATATAGTTTTCTAGATTGTATTCTGTTTACTATTTTCGAAATCACCACGTGCACCTCTTTCATAAAACTTCTTGAGAAGAAAGAAGAAAATATGGCACGCATTCTAGCTAAAATAAGTTTTCAAAGAATGAGTGTACGAGTAATGTGCTGGTTTTGAAAAGGTGCAAATAAGAAAACTAATTAATAAGGAGCATTAGAATCGTTCAAAGCGGGCGAAGGATGTCGGATGTGGGCCAGTTGGCGGAACGGTTTTAAACAAATATTGAATTAACGTGCACGGAATAATTGCGGAGAAAGCGTTTCTTAGACTAAGTTCAACACCCATCGGCCACTGTGTCAACAGTGCTTAGAAATTTAGATTGTGTACCACTGTGCTTCTGTTAATTGATTTTGATTTGTTTCTGAACGGATTCTCCAAAAACAATTTTAAAATATCGAACAACAACCGACATTTCTTTTAATCAATATTTGTTATATTTATATCAAGTAGGTGCATATGTGACACTAGAACATGGTACGTGACAAAATTTACCAAAATATATGACACTTTTGACATGGAACGTGACAAAATTTGCCAAAGTATGACATCCTTTGTATATGGAGATCAGCTCCCGTAGTGTGCTGCCTCGATAAAGCTATTATATCCACATTTAGCTCTCAAATTCGAGTGATAACCATCTAAAATTTTTTAAATATATATAATTATTGGCAAAAGGTGAGGACAACATTTTTAATACAGTTCAATACACACCCGACAATTTTTGTTTCATCGTTTTCGCGCAACGAAACGACAAAGATAGCTATATACGCAATTTCATATCGTTGTCTTTGTTCTTCAAAATGTATGACAATAGTTTATTACCAAATAAGCAAAGTTAGCTGTATATCAACTGAATTATATATTATCACGAGGAGGTTTATCACACATATACTACCCTGCTATGCTACGGCCACTGTTGTAATCAAATCGATAACAGTTAAATAACAATCAGTCATCTTCTTAAGTTATCTCGGTATTCAATTACAATATCGCATTTGACCAACCGATTGACATAACATTGTAAAATTAACAGTCAACTTCAGCCGTGAAATTTGAACAGTTATTCTATTAAAATTGTCAATATTTAAACGAGTCAGTAAAATTAACTCCTTCTGCGTATTAATGTATATTATTCAATTCAGGTGTCGCTCTTAACACTCAACTCTCGATTTCTTTTTTGTTGGAGAGTGCTTAGAAACTGTATGGAATTATAATATCACAGCTCTAAAAGGTGCTATAAAAAAGTATCTAGGTCAGTAAACTCCAATGGCTTCAAGGGACTTGTAAAGGATGTTTCTTGGTGCACATAATTAAGTAACCTATAATGCTTGTACTGACGATGTTCAGTGACTGTAGTTAGATGAATTTGTGCTTACAATATATTTGTAACATGCACAATATGGCAAAACCTTATTATTCAAATGTATTTAGCGTGTGTAGGTAATTTCCTTTTTTTGTCTGAAACATAATATGTAGAGGATCACGACAAGCACAGGCGAAGAGAATGCGCTAAGGTGCTCTTACTTTCATTGTGTCACTTCAGCTTTAGCTCATAACACACTAAAAGTGACTAATTTTATTAGAACATTACAATATTTCTCCTGTCATCATCAACCCATTTGTACGTTCCACTGCTGGACACGGGTCTTGTTTCAGGCGAGGGTTTAGGCCATTGAGCGTCACGCTGATCCAATGCGGATCGGGGACTACACACGTTTCTAAGGGTTGTAAACCTTCCTTAAAGTGCAGGTTTCATCACGACGTTTTCGTTCACTGAAAAGCTCATGTTAAATTTTAAATTAAACTTCACACATAAATTCCGAGAAACTCAGAGGTGACAACCCCGATTCGAACCTACGGTCTCTGCTTGAGGGGCGGTAGGTCAAACCATTAGGCTATCACGGCTTTATACTTTCAAAATTAAATATTACAGTCATTATGTAAGTCTAATGCGCGGGACTTCACATCGTAAGTACAGTTTGATTGTTCTTTGGCTTTTTACCTTTTCAAGCCAAGACCACAAGACTCAGTTCCCTTCAAATTGATATAATCCAACAGACACCTCCATGAATAATGTAAGGTAAATTACCAAATGCAAGAGCAGGCAAATGGCCATACTACGGGATTTTATCAATTATGATTAATTTTATTCATATTTTGCTACCATCCTAAATCCTAGCCAATTCTCGGTCGCATGAATTAGACAGGTAGTGTTCGCAGTCGCGGCTGCCAGCGGTCGGGCCGTGAAATCGAATTGGCCCACAGTCAGAGACGAAAATAAATATGTGTAAAATCGTATTTGGCTAAATGGAAACCTGAAGCCAGGAGTTGAGATCAGATTCCGACGGTATGTTTAGCTTCGCTAGTCGTAATTAAATTTCTTTTATAGATATTTCACGGTGCGGAATATGTGATACTTTCGTTCGTTGTAACTTTAGGTTTAGCGCGCGTAACGTCAGTGATAAACCCACGATAAACCATTATCGTATCATAGAACGTCTAAATAATATAAGTACTACGTACAAATCTGGTATCTATATATTTTTATATCCTTTTTTTTCTCTCTTCCGTGGTTATAATTTATGGAAGTTATTTAAGTATGTTATTTATTTTGTTAGTGCAAGTGCAATATATGCGTAGCATTTTTTCATGATATCATAAAGTGACAGGACGAACAAGTCGTGCACCTGGTTTTAAGCGTATTTTTTTAAGCCTATCAATAGCAGTTGCAGTGCCACTTCACAGGTTTAAATCTAAAAATGTTTTTAATGTCAATGTTAGGTAATGGCTTTTTATTTTATACTAACATTTAGTTCCTTAAGATTTTAATTTTGTTTTACTAACACTTTTGTATGGACCACCTTTTGAAGTCTGAAATAAAGTTATTTCATTTA